TATATATATATATATCATTTGTAATGTTTTGAGTGTTAAGAAAGTATTTTACAGACGCTATATAGATGTTGATAATGGTGGCAGTTTATATAGCAAGAGTTAGGCGCCAGACATACATAAACTACGATCATTATAGTAAGAGAAGATTATCAGATTTCGGGTTGATTGGTAGTCAAGAAAATTACTTAGGTTCAGGAAAAGCTCGGGGTTTGAATTAAACCACTTTCACAATGTTAACCACATCTTAAAAAGCCTTCAGAAACCCCTGAAAGCGTACTTCTCCTGAAACTATATTTTTAGCTCATCCTGCCTTTGAACTTATTCCATGGCGGGGCATTTACAGTTCGTCTGTCCATCTACAATTCCTCAAGAATCGCTACTCCTCCTACAGTATTGGTCAGAATTTAATCAAACTTGCACATGTTTATCACCTAATGGGTCCTCACCTAAATTGTGCTCAAGGTGAAGGTCATACTTGTCGTTTTACGGGCAATAACATGAATTGCGATGGATTGTGAGCCGGATGAGTTACAGTGTCATTGACGTTCTGGCTCCAGTCTTTTCTCCACCTGAGCTGTAAAACTCAGCACAGCATCCTGAACAGTCAGTTTTTCAGTGACGGTTTTGGAGCAGCATTAATTACGGTGGCGTAAGAACAACACCAACACATTGATTCATTCTCCATTTGGGTTTTTCCCATGGAAGCTCTAGTATACTACAACCCTTCCATCCAGGCAGACTATGTACCGCCATATATAGTTTTAGTTTTGTTTTCCAAGCATTGCACAGTAAGTGAAGAGGCCATTTTACGATGACTAGAATGGATGCAGTATTTGTTGCTTAATTTATGTTGAATTAAATGTGTTTGAGCTGCAGGTCAGAATTATTTACTCTTTAAATTACAGTTTTTATTGGGTGGAAATAAAAATGTTAGTATTTGCTGGACTATGGACATCACACTATGGGTTGCTGAAATGGATACGATGACCAAGTAAATTGTATCCACAGAACTCTTGTGTTAGCCTGACATTTTCACAACTGTGGAGATATAAATATGGAGGTTTGGAGCTTTTTTACCTGCCCTGACATTAACTTTTCAAACCAAGTACCTCAGGATACATTTGCTGTGATACTATTTAGTAGAGTTGGAAATAAAAGTTATTTAATGTCTTTTTTTTCTACAAAAATGATAATAATCAAGCATGCCAACACCTGCCTTAAATGTGTCCTGAAGACGGAGCCAGTCTGCTATCAGTCTGCGATTGAATGGGGTTAAGTTAGCAATTACATGCAACCTGTTTCTGCAGCAATTAACTGTGATAGGTCATAGAAAAATCACATAGCTGTTGCTGTCTACATGGACAGAAACTAATATTTAACTATTACATTTGTGCTCAGCAACTTTCCCTTTGTTTGAGCGGTTTGGTCGAGTAACATTATCTCAAGATGGTGGTGCATGAGATCAGCCCTCACGTGTGTTGTATTTCCATAGTAGTTTGATTTAATGAATAAAATGTCGATATTTGGTGTCACTGTACTGTATCTGTATTTTTCCCCTCACCCCTCTGTTTAGCCTGTTTAGTGAATTTGTGTGATGTAGTCTGTGGACAGTGATAAAATCTTTCAGTCAACAACAAAATCTGTAGTGGCAGCAAAAGCCTGTTGGGATATGTGGTGGGATTGTGTACAAATAGTTGTTGATTAAGTCAGGATAACACAAATCTGTTTGGATCAAGTCCTCAGCTCTGTTATAGCCATCCTGGCACAGAAAATGTCACATTTAAACAACTGAATGAAATCATTTTACTACTTTTTGCTGAACTGTTCGGAATATCATTCATTCTGTGAGTCAAACATCCCTGCCTCACCTCAGCTCGTCTTGTCGTTTCATTCACTTTTTCGTCTTATTAATTCGGGACCGCAAGGCCAGTATCAGTGTACCACCAAGGAGAATCGTGGTGTGATATGAACATAGATAGCTCTATCCACAAAGTGCATTGTGGGACCTGGGTGTGAGCGCATAGGATGAAGCCGTGCCGCAGCGTCCAGAGGTCCATCTGGGCATTATGCGCATGAAGGCTCCGCCCCGTCGTAAGTTCCTTCTCCGTCTGTTGAAGCAGCTCGGAGACACCGCATGGCAGAAATCTGTTCCTCCCCTTTCACCATGGGGGAGCAGTTTAGATGGGGTCATTCAAATGTGTGTATGTGTGTGTTGGAATAGCATGCTTCTGTGTTTGACGGTGTGAGCCATTAAGCATGAGTAATTTAAGGATTGCAAGAACGGTCTCCACATATGCCCTGTGCTGTCCCAGCCTTGTGTGTGTCCGAGTGCACGCACTCGCGTTTTGTCCACAATGAAGATCACTAATTTTGAAAGTTACTTCTAGCCTTCCATTTAAAGAAGCACCCCGTTTCTTGTTCAGATGTCCTGTTGTCCTGTGTTCTCTCCCTTCCTTGCTCCAGTCTGTATAATGTACTCAGTGACCTTGGCGAGAATGATCCAGTGGCAGATTGCTACATGGTAGGGGCACAGTAGCTATTATTTTGAGTCAGTGCGGGATAGACTGCCAATATTTCTTCTAAACAGGATGGGGGAGGTCAGCTGACTAAAATCAATCTCTGCTACATGTTTCACTATAACTCTTAAAAGCAGCTTCATAGAGAAGATATATTTCTGGTGTTATACCTCTGTTGCTTCTCTTCCGTCTCTTGATGCCCTTGGGTTCCTAGTTTTGGAAAGAGCTTGGAGGGGGAGAAAGCATGCATGCGTTGAGTAAACATATAAATTAAGTATCCAAACAGAAGATAAATAAATGAGAGATTTGCTTATGGGCGGTCCTGCAGCTCACTGATTTTTACTAGAATGTCAGCGCAAGAACATAACCTGAAATCTGTCGTTTGATTCTTGTATGGTTTCCATACCACAGTCAGTCGGTGAACCTTCTTTACACTCTTCATGCATCTTGGTCAGTGCACTCTGGAGTAAACCCCTCTGTGACACTAGCTGTATAGAAAATCATTGGATTTGCTCTCATATATGTGTAGGGGGAGAATGAGCTTTTTTCTTGGGCCACTTGGAGACTGTTTTATTTTTTTCCCATCACACCGGCTTGTGTTAGATTTACGAGCAGGCCCAAACAGGATGCTCCTCCATCTTTGAGGAAGGGGAATAGTGGAGCTGATGTAATAATCGCAATCTTTTTCCAACCCAGAATAGTGACTGTGTGAGGTGTATGTATGCATCACAATAACAAGTTGGGTTAGTTGTTTACAGGCCACAGCAGCAAAGTTTTCATTACTTACCTTTTAATGGTATTTTTTTTTATCCCCCCCTCCCCAATTTGTTCCACTCTTTCTCGCCCCTACCCACCCTCCCATTCAGCAGAGGAGTAGTTGGCAGCGGCATAAAGCATCAGCCTGCTCCGACGACTCGTGCCTGAGTCCCTGCCAACCTGTGTGAAGCTAGGAAGGGGAATAGGAAAGAGGGAGGGAAGGGGACAAAAGAGAGGAAAGCGATAGAATGGATTTTTTTTTTGGAAGGAAGTAAACAGAGCAGCCTGGAAATCAACCTTCCAATGCCAGTTTTGGCATCCAGGGATAGAACCTCTCCCGGGTCCCTGTGAGGAGGCAGGAGCGCTTGGACTTCAGTTTTACGGGTGAGAAACACGGGATCACGGGTAGAAGCGGAGGTTAACAAAGACTAAATACCCACTAAAACAAGTCAAACTGGGCTTTATTGTCCGCTAAACAACAGACAGATTGTTGTCCCCTTGACTGGTGGTAAGCTTGATTCAAGCAGAGTGACAGGGTGTCCGGGTTTGATTTTTCTGGTTCTGGTCCAGCCGCCTACAACCGACATCCTAAAAGCAACAAAAGGTGACCAACGTATTCCGCTTCTGTCCTGCTGCACTGTATAGAAGGCGCAGTGCTTTTCAGATATCCGAGAAAACAAAGACACGCAAAAAAATTACGCCCATATCTCATCCAAGTTGGGAAAAAAAGCCTTTTCATGAATCCTTCCCCCATATTCAGCCTGTTTTCTCCTTTTGTAAGCCCAGTCAGTCACCCTCCCTGCTTGTTTTTTTTTTTTGTCGTCCTCTGTTCTTTCTTTTGCTGGCGTAGTGAGGGAGCGTAGTGAGGGTATTCAGTTCTTTCTCAGTGCCTGCGTGTGTTAGATGGGGTAATTCTGGCAGAGTGGGGTGTGGGCGCTGGTCTGGAGGGGGAGGGCGGGGGGTGCTGGACCAGGCACAGTGAAAGGAGCCAGCCTGGCACTGTCTGGACCTCTGCCAGATGCTCCCTGGGAGAAACACCCACTGCAGAGGTTGGTGTGCAGGTGATTGTGTGGCTGGTTGCGTGCATGCAGGCAGCCGCGCACATGTTTAGCAAGAAGGGAGTAAGGGATGATGGGAAGGTGGTGCGAGGAAGAGAGTGTGAAGTGAAGATGGAGAGCAGCTGACAGAGATGAGAGGGCGGGGAGATTTGGCTCTGAGTTTCCTTCTTTGGACAGTGCTGTGTCGGCATATTCTTGGCTAACTTTGTTTTTACCTCTCTCTCTCTCTTTTTTGTTTGTTTATTTGTTTGTGTGTTTGCTTTCTCCGTGTTCTCTTGGATGAAGTGCTTGGTCTTTTTATATAGCGCCCAAAGGCATGGTGGTCCGAAAGCCAAAAAGAATCCTTCACTGCCTCTCTGCTACCCTCATCTGTTGCTTCTCACTGGCTATTTACGCCTTTTATTGTTTTGGCAAGCTTGATCTCTCCTCCTCCCACTTCTCCTCCTTCTCTATCGCACACTCTTCTCCCTCTCACTCTCTCAGTTTCGCGCTCTCTTTCTCTCTCAGTCGTTTGGCAGCTACAGTACTTTTTATCGTCGTGGCCAGAAACAAAGGACAAGAGGGTGAGAGTGAGCGGAGGATAGAAACAATGCAAATTCACAGGGAAAAAACGGAAGATATCTAATGTTCTCACACCTCCTCAAGTCACCTCCATCGGATGAGAATATTTTGCCCGTACAGGCACTCATATACTTTGACTGGAGTTAACTGTGCTCGTGAACATGACCTAGCACTGCCAAACAACCTGCTGCTGAAAGACAGCACTGTCGCACAACAGGAGGGCAAGAAGAGACCGCCTTAGGGCACCCAGGCCCCCGTGACATTTTACTTCTTTGTGCTTGTGCAGTGTGCTACTCCACAGTAAAAAAACAAACAGTTTTTTGTCAAGTAACAGAAGTGCCTTAGCACGCCAAGAAAGTATTATCAGCTCAAGTGTACTCTTTTATTGTGTAGTCTTCCAAACACTTAATCTTAAGGGCCCAAGCATTCAGGAACAGTTTCTTTTCTGTGCTCTGCTGTCTGGGTTCGGAACGATTTCTGGAAGCCTAAACTGAAGGTAGCTGCTGTTCTTTGGCCTTTTGTCGCAGAGGGAGATCATCCCATCTAGGAAATGAACTATTATGTCCGTATCAGATTAGAGATTGTTTTTATTCAGGTCAGTGTTGCACATAACATTTCTGAGCAGCCAGAAAGTAATCGCACATTGAACTCAGCGCAAGCGTCCATTATTGGGATGTGCCTAAGCTCTTAGTGTACCCCGTGGCCTGTTTATCTGTAGACTAATATTAGTGGTTGCAGTACAAACCAGCCTTGCTTAGTGGAGATTTGCACGCTAAGTCACCTCAGTCTTCTTAAACCCTAATCCCCCTCACACATCTGCGAGCTACACACTCACACACACACTTCCTTTTTAGCACTCTAATTCCACTCAGCACAGTTGGCAGTAGAGTGCTACCTCTCAGCACTCCAGTTTGTTTTACTTATTGGGTATTTTTAACATGATGAAGATTAGGGTGGCATTGAGTCTACTTGCAGTGCTCTTCCCCACATGTGAGGTTATACAGGCTCACGCCCTTGAAGTGTAGTCATCTTTTTTGCTTTGTGGACGCCCAGTGGTGTCGAGCTGAACACTAAACACGCTTTCATTCCACATAAAGTGAAGTAAGAGGGAGAGAGAGATCAGACAAAACTGCTGCTTTGTGTTTAATTGTGTGTATTGAGGAGAGGACAGCAGGGATAGAATAGCAGTCAAAGCTGTGTAATCCCTTAAATGTCTTTCCTGCACAGAAGCCTCTGGCTTTGATTTGCTGGCCCGGGGCAGCCTGTAAAGACTTGTGAGGCCAAATCGAGGCGCCTAATAGGCCTCTTTGCTCTCGTATTGTAATTTGTACTGTTGCAACACTGTGTTATGGTCTGAAGCCATATTTGCACACTGTTTCTCTTCACAGACAAGCATGCAGTCAATGGGAATCCAACTGTGGAGCCTTTCCCAGAAGGGATGGAGACCATCATGTTTGGTGAGACTGCACAATCACACTTTTGAAAAATCAGAAATAAACCAATATGGCATCCTCTTTTACCAGTTTGTGGTTAGTAACACATTTTGGCGAGAAGCTGGTTTTACTGTAGCGCTGAAGCAGGGGCGATTCATGCATTTGTTTGTGCGCATCCAGGAATGGGCTGTTTCTGGGGAGCCGAGAAACTTTTCTGGCGACTTCCGGGAGTCTTCTCCACACAAGTGGGCTATGCAAGTGGCTTCACACCAAACCCCACTTACGAAGAGGTCTGCTCAGGTACTGCGCTTTTACGCATTTGTGTAATTATACCTGCACTTTGATTTATAATAACCGATCATGCTACCTTCCCCTGAGCAGGACATTTTACTGTTACATCTACGGCCAAAATAAAACAGATAAACAGCTGGAAAGGTTGTTTTAAGTAAAGCTATCTCTTCCTCTTGCTCCTTCCCTTCATCTGCAGTCAACTACTCAGAATGCACCGCTCCAGATGGGCTGCACCCACCCGTCCCAACCCCCCCATGACCTACTTGTAAGGATTGGGCTCTGTACTGTGCTGTACTGCGGCGTTTTTGCCAACAGAGGTTACTGTGTATGAAGCGCCATAGATTGGGCTTCTTTCCCTGAGAGTATGATTTGGCGAACGTGCCGAAGATGAAGGCATAAATCCTGAGTATTTGCAGTCGGAGGCTTTGAAAATGTTGGCTACCTGTCTGACTTCCTCTAAATTAGTCTCTCAGCGGTCCTCATCATGACAGTCGAAAAGATTTATGTAGGCAGTTGATGTATATATTCAAGAGAATATGTTAGATTTTACTCTCCTTTTCCGTCCCTTGTGTTTTAGGAGATATGAGTGTTAGTTTGAGGCTTCTCCATCACTCCATACTGGCATAATGTCTAGGTGAAGGCACAGCATGGGGACGTGTAAAGGAAGGGAAAGATGCTCTGGGCTTAGTTGGCAGATTTTCTGAGCAGAGCCCTTCATAGAATTTCCATGTTTCTATCTGTTCTCCTCCCAGTCCTGCTTTCTGTCAGTTTCCCAGCAACACGATGGTCAGCTATGGAGGAAGATGGAGATGGAGACAGATGACAGAAAAAGAGAGACTGAGTGACGAAGCAAGTGGGGAAATGGGTAAAATAAACTTTTGAGGAAAAAAAGTGTGAGAAAGAATGGTTACCTGTCCATCGGCTGAGAGAGTGCAGGCGTCGCTCCATTGGCCATGACGGAGCAGAACACTGCGACGGCATGAGACCGAGGAGCTGTCAACACAGCCAAGGCAGGACAGACAGACAGACAGAAAGAAGGGGTTGATGGAACTGTCAGAAGAGCCAGGGAGGGATAGAAGGACAGGCTGGATGCTCTGACAGACAGAAATAGAAGAGGTTGAGGTGCAGTCAGATTCGACAGACACAGACAGACAGCTGGGAGTGATGAGAAAATGATGTTATTATCAATGAGCATATTTGAACTAATTTGTAAAACAGTCCATTGCACGAGATGTTTGCGATACAGAATCAAAGGCTGATGCTGATACCTTTCAGTTCTACCGCGCTGCATGAAGATGAATCCAGTCCTCCAACCATAACAGTCAGATAGACTGCTGATCATATCAATGGATTTTTAAAAATCACTCATTAGTTTGTTATTTTCTGCCAAACCTTAGTAAACTAACCAGTGGTAAAATTGGTTACAAAAAAAGGTTGGTGATTGTTATTAGAACAAAAAAAACCCAAAAATTCCAGACTCCAGTGTTTTGCTTATATCCTCACAGCGACATAGCACCACTACACGACTTCCATGTTTTCCACTTTAGTTCAGTTTATATCTTACAGATAGAGTTAATGGAGGCCATGTGTAGATCTCTAAGGTATAGGCCGTAAATTCTATTTCACCGCAGGATCTGAACTATTAATATCACAACCACTATAATAAATAGGAGTGGAAGAAAGGAGAAAGACTGTGACTGTTTATATAGTCTTTCATACACTTTTGATTTGGGTTGGAAGGTCAGTTGTGTTTTGTGATTGAATATAGGACTTTTCTATAAGGAACCACTGTGATTATGTTGTGTCATTCACTGTGACTTGGAGCAGTGAGCAGAAAGTTTGTAGTAAATATGGCTTGGCTATAGGGCCATTACTGCAATAGAGAATGTGTGTTTTATTGCTTCATGCTGTTTTGGCTCTGGATGATTGCTACTGGCATAAGAAACTTGTAAGAGAAATGTCAGAAGGCAGAGGGTATTTCAGTAGCCCCAATGTGAAGTTATATTTTTCAAGAATGCATTCTTCAGCACAGGCGTAGCTTCTGAGTGCATTCATATAGCCACTGTGGGTGAAATAACAATAATTATACTTAAGACTCTTGTTTGCTCACTGAAGGTAATTCCAAGTATTTCTGTGGATTTCCAAAGCTTTTTCACTCATTGCTGTTTATCACAGCAGATAACAATTAAACTAAAAAGGCCAACGGGATGCCATGTTGGGCTTTGAGGTATTTTTCACACAGAGGGCTGTTCACCTTGCTGAAGGGTCCTTCAGCCAAAAATTGAATCTCTAGCAGCTTTAGTGTTGCTGGCCTTTTCCACTTTCACCCCTTTCATGTGCGACAACCCTGAAGAGTCATACCACAGTCATATTATTTCAGATCTTAACAGCTATTTTTGCTCCAGCTGAATTTCTACCATTTTTGTTGAGTTGCTCACAGCATGACTGCCAGTCTGCAACCACACTCACTGTTCTGTGTTTGCAGAATGTTTGCAATCCCACCGAGTTAGAGGTTTTATACAGGTAATACATATTAAATATGCCAAGTCCAGTATTATGCATTGTCTTGAGCCACCCCTCATTTCTTTATATTTTGCTAATATATTTAGCTAACTGTGTTACACCAGATAAATGACATCTGAAAGTGATGTCATTAAGAAATAATCCAGACCTGACCTAACACAGGACCCAAGAGATGCATCTGGCCCTTCAGCTGATCCACCAGCTATTCACTGAAGTCATAAGAAATGATTTCAGGGTGAGGGTGGCTGTTAAGAATTCAGTTCAATTCAATTCAGTTTTATTTATACAGCACCAAACCACAACAACAGTCACCTCAAGGCACTCTATATAGTAAGGTAGACCCTACAATAATACATACAGAGAAAAACCCAACAATGATAAGATCCCCAATGAGCAAGCACTTTGGCAACTGTGGGAAGGAAAAACTCCCTTTTAACAGGAAGAAACCTCCAGCAGAACCAGGCTCAGGGAGGGGAAGCCTGCTGCAACAGAGAGTATTTAAAGCATATTTTAAAGTATTTAAAGGTCTTTTGAGACAATTATTGCAAATTTGCAATTTTTGGTTTAAATTGTCGTGTAACTGAGATCCAACAGTTAGTGTCTTCAGCCATCTATAAAACACAGTGGAGGATCTGTCATAGTGGTGTTGAGGATCGTATCATAATTGATGGAATAATGAATGCAGAAAACTGCCATCAGATTTTTATCCACTATGCAGTGCCATCTGGAAAGCATCTGAAAGCAGTGGCTCCATTTTCCAGCATGATAATGATCCCAAACACACTGCCAATGCATTTAAAGCATACCTGGATAGAAAAACACACAGAAAGCTTGACTAAGAGAGTTCAGACTGTGTTGAAGAATAAAGGTGGTCATATGAAATACTGTCTTTCAAGCTCCTATATACTGTACTTCTATGAGTATTTGCACATTTCATTAAATAGCTCCACCTGTTTCCAATTTTCCTTGCAAAATATAAACACTTGAGGAGTTTTGCTGCACAATATGCTTATATATTACAATCTAAATCTAAAAATATGCTTTAAGTTTCTAGCAACATCTTTTTTTTCAGAAATTAGTTAATACACACTCCTTGACTTTGGTAACAACAGTTTAAATAAACGACCTCCTCCATTTTCATTTGGCACACCATGTTCCTCTGAGCATCATTTAGAAAAGAGAAAGTTGGTTTCAAACCAGATGCATGAATTTGGCAGACATTCATCTATTATCTGCAATGCACCTGATAAATCTTTCTGTGTGGGCATCTTTTGTGTGTGTGCTGTATACTGTACTTACAGTTTCTTCTGAAGCAGTTCCAAGCTGACACCTCTGTCTTTATGTTTAGAAGAAAAATGTGTTTGCAAAGGGGTGCTTGGCGTTTGAGATTACCTTTTCTGCTCTAAATGTGTTTCCCGTTGCGGATGCACCTACATGTGAGACTTAAAGCAGCTCCTACTTTGTGAATGCCTGCAGGCAGCTTGTTGAAGCTTCGGGGTCCTGGCAGCTGCAGACAGGAGTGAGTGCTTTTGGCAACCTCCACCATAAACCCCAACATTGACTGCTTTCTCTCTTGCTCTCTCTTTCTATCTGAATCTCTCTTTCTGCCACTTTCTCTCTCCCCATTGTGCCATGAGCAATGGCTGACTGTCTTCTACCTGTGGCACCTGAACTCACTGCACAAGCATCCCACTCATGAGCTCTCCTTTGCAGTTTTCAGTAGGCAATTGCTTTAAATTTAATCAGCTGTTACAGTATGTCCAATGTTTGTGGTGAAATGTAGGAGAACAGAGTGAAATAAGGAGAACCTGGATCGAGTGGACATCATAAGAGGGGATGTCGTGTCACTTTACTTAGATTAATGCAAATTTGTGCTTCTCCACTAGGTCTGACAGGTCACACCGAGGTGGTGAGAGTGGTGTTCTCCCCCCAAGACATCAGCCTTGAAGAACTGCTTAAACACTTTTGGGAGAAGCACGATCCAACACAAGGTAGCAGCGCACACATACACTCACAGACAAACCCCAAAGTTGCCCTCAAATAAGTCCTCTCCCAAGGGGCACAGGGTGTATTAGAGCAGAAGGATGATGCCCAGACGTGTGCCTGTGTGTGTGTGTGTGTGTTGTGGTGGGGGGAGGTCTCATGGGTGTAAGTCAACGCCAGACAGTGTTAATGTGTCTGAGATCCAGCCATCCATGGAGAGACCCACCAGTGTGGTGCATGTTCAAGATCCCGAAAACCTCACTGAGCATGTGCGTCTTTCTTACTTTATTATATGTATACCAGCCTTTTGTCGTTCACTACACATATTGGATTCTGGGTGACGCAATGATGATACTAAATTCGCTCATTTCTAGGTTGAATAACGTCTTTGGATTTCTATGTTATTGTGCTCACTTGTGCTTCATCCGTGGGTTTAGTCCCTTAACGATATATCTGAAGTAGTCAGTGACAGGAAGCTGGTGACTGTTCAGAAACTTTGGAGCGACGTCGTAACAGCTCGCTTAACTAATTCAGATGCTTCACTTGTGATCGCTATTCCATCGCACTTGCACAGCATCGACAAGGACCACATCCCCCAAAAGCCATATCTCTTCTTTTCTTCAAGTCTGTTGCTCTCTTGTTTTCTGTGCTCACTGGAGGAGGTGATGTAAGAACATTAATGCACCGGGAGGATATGTAGAGGGTGTGTGCATCTATGTGTGTGTGAGAGGCAGAAAGGACAGGCAAAGAGGTACTGTGCTTACTTATATTGAATGTAGGGAGGGGCATGACAACTTGGGAAGAGATGGATCAAAGATTCATAGGCCCGACCTTCAGGCTTGTGTGCACGCACGCAACACTCACAGTAACGTTGCCCGTGACGGTTTTGTCATCCCTTTTGCATCTGTCATGATTGCTCTCTCATGATCGCTCCTGGTGTGACCTACATACACTGGAATGTCAGCCATGTTTGTGCGTCTACCGCAAATACCCAGATAAATACAAGCATAAGCTTTTCACTTCGGCTGTTCTACATGAGGCAGGATTTTGGAAGGATGCAGGGGAAGAAGAAGCTACTGAGCGCTGAAGATCATCCAAGAGCCCCATCCTCCTAATCAGAAGGGATTCTTCTCCTGTTGACCACAGCTGAGAGCAGAGACACGTCTTACTGGGGGCAAAGAGTCGAGCTGACACACCACGGTGAAAAAGCAGTGAGGCCAAAAGACTAGTCATGCATTTCCCTTGACTCGCTGCCTTGTCTCATCTCATGTTTTATTAATAGCGTGCAGCTTATTGTCTATGCACTATGTATTTTTATTTTTATTTTTTTGTCACAGGTAAGATCAGACGACATATTTTGGAATAACCACAAACTCAAATGTACTTTTTTCTCAGTCTCCCTGAGTGTTGCTCCTTTGCGCGTGACTTAAATGTGAATCCCGGCCGTTTCTCTCTTCTCAGATTCCGGGTTCACGTGTAGCAGAAATTCCTCTGATTTGACAAATGTAGCATGGAGTGGTGGAAAAGGGCCCGCTGGCTGTGCCTTCACGCATGCTTAAGCTCCAATTTATTCTGTCCACCTTAGAGCTGGGCTTAAAAGAGAATGGAGAAATTAAGGAAGTTCACTCTTTTCCCTTTTAACTGCACACATTCACTAGAGATCGTATATGAAGACGAGCCCGGGAGCATTACGAATTCTGTTTTCTCCTGGCACGTATCAAAACAGCAGAGGTTTGATAGATATAGATATATATCTATAAAAACATATGCGCGTGTGTGTGTCGGGGGGGCAATGCACAGGTGCATATTCAGTTGCATGTAATGCTTTTAATGCGTTCATGTGGGTGTGTGCATGCACATATGTGTGTGCGCGCGTGTATGTGTTTTGATATCTGTGCCTCTCTGCTTTGCCTCAGTTCAAAAGGGTTTAGTCCCGACAACGTGATGTCGGGCTGCGTCAGCTCCACCAATCCCAGCCTGGATAGCAACATTAGCAGCCAATCAGAAACTCCCAGCAGCCTTTGCTGTGTGCCCCCTTTCCATATTCAGCAACACTAGTCTCAATCTGCTGGCTTCTTTGGGATGTTGCATAAAGCCACCCCCACACCCCCCCATTCCAACATGCTTCCATATTATAAGTTTCTCATGTCTACGTTCAGTCAACTCTTCAGGAGCACCCCTCCACGCCAGTGAATGACAAACTCTCAACAGTCGGGTGACATTGCATGTCAGAGGGCAGCAGCCATTTTGTTGCATCTTGAAAGCTGAAAACGTGATTTCGTTGAGGATGATCACCGCTGACTTGCGAGCACATCCAGTTTTTCTTTCGCTTTAATGCGGACTCCAGCGCAGTAAAATTTTACCTTATGCACAAGTGCCCACTATGCCTACTTTAAGCTTTAATTAAGCTTTGCTTCATTTGAACATACACTTAAGAGCACACCCATGCATACTGTGCATGCAGAGAGTGTACACAGCAGCATAGGCTGCTTGTCAGTGTATTCACTGGACGAGTCCTTGTTACAGAGGCCTGTAGGGCCTGTTTCACTCTCTGTTTTTGCTATCTCCACACTCCCTGTGGAAGATAGGAACACCTAATCTGGTCATTTCTTTATCCTGCCAACCTTTCAGCGCAAACCCCACTGTTTCTCTCTGTTACTTCAAGATTTGCCTTACCACCCTTTTTTTTTAATCCTTAACCCTTTTAAACAAGCACCCCCCCCCCTTTTTTTTCTCTGATTTCTTATTCTGTTTTCTATCTTCTTTCCTCCAATTCTTTCCTCTGTGTTTGCACATTCTGTCCCAGTTTCCCCCTCTCCTCCTGTCTCATCCTATCACCCCCTCCCCCTTCCCACCCCACCCATTTCACCTGCACCCCCTACCCCTGTCCCTTTTGCAGTGAGTGGAGCGGAGGGGCAAGTGAGAGAGCAAACGGCCCGGAGCCCGTCAGTACATCCGCAGAGCAGCACAGTGAGTCGACCGCTCCCTGAGGCCATCCGCTCATCACACAAACACACTCACATTCACTCACTCCTCTTTTATCTCTTAGTCACTCTCTCCTCCCTGCTCCTCATCCCCCCCCCTCCCCCCCGCTCTCCTCATCTCTTCCTCCGTTCCCCTTGTCCCCCACCCTCTCCGCCGCCCTTCATCTTAACAAGCGAGGCTTTTCCCCTCCTCATTGTTTCCTCCCCATCTCTTTTTCCCCTTCTTTGCTTCCTCTTCCCTCATTCCCTCCATCCTCTCTATTTTTTGAGGCCATGCAGTATTTATGTTGTGGGCTGCTGATGCTGCGTCAGTGAACAGACATCACAGGCGTACGCCGATAGACACAAAAACACAAGTGTACAACTAAAATGGCCGACGCATCTGTCCTCATTTGATAGCGTCTGCACGTACATGCACGCTAACCTTTGTAGGTTAGATACTTTAAATAGTTTAGTTAAAAAGAAGAAAAGAAAAAAATGATTGTGAGGGTTTTTTACATTTGAGCTTGGGGGGTTTTTTTTTGTTCTAAAATCTATATTTTACAATATGAATGTAAGTTGCACAGCATTGTTGCTGCATTACATTCTATATGACAAGCTGTATTTAAATGGCTTATTGCCTATCACACATAAACATGATCTATTTGAGTCACCCTAGCAGCGGTTACTTTCTGACAATTGCAATGAGCATGAATATTCCTTTATGTAATATCTTCACCCCAGCTGGCGGCGACACACGTCAATTCCCTGTTGGGGTACCCCCGTGTCCCCCCCGTGTCACCACATCCCTCAATTTCAGGGGTGCCCGTGCACATCCAAAGCCAAAATCCCACAGGAGATGACCTTGACATATAACCCATGACCTCTGCAACCCCCCACACTTCTAATCCAACCCTGTTTCTCTCCTGTGGTTGGCTGAGGTTGGCGGGCTCATTACCAGGTGTCGGTTATTACACCCTCACACATGCTGACGGCCTTAATTTATGGAGATTGAGGCACGTGTGTTCACAGCGTGGGGGTTGAGTTCTGCATGTCCATTTGAATATGTTAAAGTTTTCTAACATTTTCATACTTCAATATTTCGATGTATTTTTTTCAATTTACAAATTTGCAACCTTTTTTTCTGTGGGTTTTTGTGAACGTATTCATATTTCGTGGTAATAACCCAACACTGATGACAACTGGACTGAAAAAATATATTTAAAACAAACAGAGCTAGACATGAGATTTGGGGTTCCAAAGGTAAGTGTGGTTTCTTCTTTCAAAATTAAAGTCTAAACTAAAGTGTTTTTCAGAATAAAGAGTGATAGTGTCCTAAACATTTTAAGTTTTTTGACAGCCTGTCGTACATTTAATTTGACAGCACACAAAATGAGATCAAATTTATTAAAAGAAAAATAAGATGTGCAGCATTTGAAAAATCAATATTTAAAAAAACATATTCCCTCCAGGGAAGAGAAACTGCATGTACTTAATTCTGGACAGAAACTCAAAGAAGTTAGAGTGTTATTATTGTAACTGTTAATTTGGAGCAGTCAGGGTTTTTTTTTTATATTTCTGTTTACTTCATTTTTACATAATTATATAATATGTAAATTTGATCCCAGTAGGAGGTTTGGGTTTGCTGAAACTGCTGACCTGAACTCTGTCTAAAGTAGAGAGGGATATAACTCGAGGAATCCAACTTATGCTCTCAGTATGGACTGACTGGAGTACAATGGTAGAGCTCGCTTCACTGTTGGAGCAGCTAAAAATAAACAGCTCAGGGTTAGAGTCACAGTGGTCTGACAACATGCCCAGAACTATGAAGTGATCATGTTAGAGAGCACTGCTCCTGTATAGAGAAATTAAAAACAGTAAGATGAGGCAGCTTTTCAAAAGAGGTAACTGCAGCGATCTACCTCATGCATTGTCACATAAACAGATGTAGTCGCGGTAACATCCCTGAGAGTCACAGCTCTGATTTAAAACTACCTCCTTTCAGTGTTGTGTCACTACCTCACAGCAAGCTTTGCAATGGCTTA